CTCTGTTTCCTTGAACAATGTTTTTACCACATTATGTAATTATCTGCGATGTGTGAATAAATTAAGCTCAGGTCAAAGGTGTTCAGTTACGGTGCGATTAATTACGCGATTCAAATAATTACGCACGTTCTCAAACTATTAAATTTTGATGTTCTAACTATGTCGCCTCACATCACACTTAATCGTGTTAATGACATACCATAGCCTTGGGCGATTTTATTTCGACAAGTTTTTTCGTAAGCAGCGAGCAGTAATTTTTCCGAAACACGTTTCCTGTTCCTGTCAAGACGGTCGTGTTACATTTTTTTTCCTGTTAGAACTTGTTTATCTACATGCCTAGAATATAATATTATTATTTCCACACAGAGTTTTCTCATAAATAAACAATGGCAGTTTTGAAAATTCGCCTTCGACTGAAAAAGAATAACTAATTTAGCCTGTGTAAATAAGTTTATTACAAAACAGTAGTTTCTTTCACTAAATAGAAGTAAATCCTGACCGATTTTCTGAAATAAAACAAACACCCGTCAACCAGCACGCTCACCGAGAAGTTTGTTTAAGATGGTGTCTATCATCCTCATTTAAACTTAGCGCTTAGAGTGTAAGTAAAAATATGTTGCTGGCACAAGGTTCCAACATTAATTAAATATAGAAATAAACAATATTTAATTTAATGTTCCACGCTTTTTAAATATTTATATTAAATCGGATTTGACAAACTTTTTGTTGGAACGAATAGGAATCGAATTGCACGGACCTTTTGCCAACTGTGTATACACGGAATAGAACTTGCCCGGCTGCTGCTTTAATAATGTGCTTTATTTATGCAAAGACTTTTAAGAGCACCTGTGTCTCACACTATTAGTAGGTACGCGAATTAGCGTTTTAATTTATAATTTGTAGAGCAAGAAAAACTATTTGAGGCATTTATGTGCAGACATTTGACCTGCAATTTGCAAACTGTTACGTTTACAACCTACTATCATTATTTTTATAGAAAGGTTTTTGATGGAGCAAATCGCCGTTAGCATGTGAACGAAGATTTCTTTATATGCCTTACTGATTTCGTGAAGTTGATTTTCATGTTACAATTTTTGTTTCGGCACAATGCGGGGTCTTACACTGAATCAGTTTATAGTAACAACAATCCATGTGACATCATGTATATAGATGCTTGCTCAGAATAAATGCGCAATTTTTCCGATTCGAATAGAATACAATTCAACTTTTTCTATGGCTTGCGTCTAAGGAACATCGGGTTTCAAAGTGAGCCCTTTTATATCCGTTTTCGTAATAACTTTTTAGATAATTGGTTTGATAAAATATTTTTTGATTTACTTGACTTAAAACAATGTTTAAACGTCGCGCAGAATCGAACAATTTTGGATTATCTGACGCATGGGTAACATTAATACTAGAAAACGTCTTTTTGGTTATCCAAACGTTCCTCCTGGTTTAGTCATAGTGGATTTATTATCATCACCCACTCACTGAATTATTATATATATGTATCAAAATTTCCAGCTAGGATAAAATATGAACTGTTTCTACGAGAGTAGAGTTAACGGTTTTTCAAAACCACATGGAGTAAAGATTGTTTTTCTCAAAAAAAAAAGGTTTTAAAGCGTCTTAATTCCTTTCATTAGTATCGAAAAGAGCACGCATTTTAGATCAAATTTTATCTATTTAAAAACAAACTTTTAGAACATTCCTGATACAGTTTTATTTAATAGACCCCATTTTACAGCTTTTTTAAAGCTGGTCCTTTTAAAGCTGACGCATTTATAACTGGTCCTTAGCTGGCAAAGTGAAAAAGAAAATTTTATTTCAATCAATCCAACTTATGAAAACTTGTCTGCTGTGATTGATATAAGAATAGTATTCCATGATACCAAATATTTTAAAATTTATTACGATTTACGAATTTACCTTTTTGAAGGTATATCTTGGAGCGTCTGTATTTTCGTGGCCAGATTGTGAACATATTGTACAAACTTATTCTATTTTTTTCCGTAGACTAACCCGAAAGTCTACGCACTTATTCTGTCAAAATTTAAAAACATATTTCGAAAAGCATTCAATGATCGATTAGAAGACAAACTTATTATAAACAGCGCGAATTTCGTTCTTCATCTAAGTTGAACTTAGAAGTTGGTATCACTTTTGCAATTGAAGGCAGTTTTTTCAAACTGCAAACTTTTTACTCTTGATGGCCTAAAACAGAACTGTTTTCTTACGACAATCAGAAAGAAGATTCGACTTTTTCTAAAATTAGAATTTGAAAATTTGACTAATTTTGAATGTGATACTGTGAATAGTCCCAAAATGTTACAGTCTGCAGCAACATCTTCAAATTTTACGAGAAATTTCACAACCAAAGTTCAGCCTTCGTATAATAAATCTCGCTCGAAACAAAGTTTTTTATAGAAGCTATGAGTGAAACATCAAATTCGAGCGAGTTAAATTATTGATAGCAAAACCTATTAGCTGTCCCAATAGCAATAAAATTGTGTTTTTAATGTCCACATAATTTGTATGAGACCAATTAATAAAATAGTAGTAAATTTCAGTTTTGCATAGACGCAATATAAGAATTGAAAGATAACATGCCGATATGCTGTATTAAACATGAGTTTAACATCAAACCTACAACGTTACGATGTCAGTACTTAATGTTTCTCACAAGAGTGGTGCTCTATTGTTAAAGGCCCAGGTCGAGTCGAATATTATAATCTTGGGAAAGTACCTCGGGGTTAATGTGGGCGAGACAGTGTCTATCTGAGGAGTTAATGATAGTTTACGTCACTCATCATTGGTCGGCATACGGTCCGTTTGAAAGAGTATTTTATGCAATGTTGTGCTCATATTGTAACGTCCCAATTGGATACAATCCAACGTTTGATATCGTGATGCCTCCCCGTACTGAACCGTTCCCCTCCGTGACTGACAATGTGAAAATTTACCGTCTGCTCCCAAGGTTCGACTTCAAACTACAGTACATTATCGAGCTATAATGCGAACTATTATCATATTTACATAAATTATAATAATTTAGGAAAAAAGTAATTCTTATAATCGACGAGATATCGAAGGTTGCGTGGATGTTTACCCTCGCTAAACTGCTTCGGATAATACGGGTAGTACATGCAGTCGATAAAAAAACTAACCGCAATTCCTCTAGATGGACAATCAAATACTGTAATTTTTTCTACCCCCTTTGCAAACCGCAATAAATAATTCCTTGCCATTTTCCTGTTCAAATTATACCTATAAAATTATTAGCAGCTTGTTTTTTCCACTAAAGTGGTGGTGCAATGGAAACACATACATTAGGGCAACTAGCGGCCTAGGGCGCTTTTTATTAATACTAGAAAACGTCTTTTTGGTTATCCAAACGTTTCTCCTGGTCATAGTGGATTTATTATCATCACCCACTCACTGAATTAATAAACAATCTAGCACTCACAAAAAATGTTTGAACAAAATTTCCAGCCACAATAAAATATGAACTGTTTCTACGAGAGTAGAGAGTTAACGGTTTTTCAAACCTATGAGCTCAAAGTTGATCGCAAAAATTCCAGATCGATTTTGATACATTTTATATTCGAGGTGACAAGTTTTTTGAAGAATTTTAAAAATAAAAATTCAGCCTCGTTTATTTCCATTTGTTCAATTGTGTAGCTTAAGATACTTTAGTTTGTTACGATCGACAAAGTTGATGTTATGTATCTGCTAGTTGTACAAGGAAATTCTCTGAAATGTCGTAAATTGCACCTTCTAGTTAAGTTTCACTTTTCTCCTCAAGGAGTGTCTTTGCGAGTAGGTATACATCTTGTCCGATTAGCACAACTGATTTTCTCCATCTCAATCAAAGTGTTCTTGCAAGGAAATAATACTTTCTGAATGCCAAAGAAATCGTGATTATTCACAAATATCTGCGGAATCGGCGCATTTGTTCCACTCCCATATCATTACCTGATTTGGCCACGACTCTCATTTTGCTAAGTATCTTTGTCATGTCTTAATTCATGTTCTTAAGGAAAAACCCGATGGTTTTAATACATTTAAAAAAAATTCTTTTAAATGGCGCCATTATCGTGAGATTATTTAGCGCAGAAAATCAAACATTTTTCACCGGTAAAATTTTGTTTTTATCTCGAAGGGCCGAATAATTCATAAACCTGAATTGCACAATTATTTTTGTTAAATTCATAGTTAACAAATAATGTATGATTATTTGACCTGAACAAGTATAGATTTGTCTCGAAAAAATTTTTCGGGAAAATTATTTTTTAGGACGCGTCCCTCGCGATGATCCTCTTAAGGGCATTCTTTTCATTTAACACCGCCCATGTTCACATGCTGCCATAAAATTAGATAATCTCGTTTATTAAGTCAAATCCGAGTAATCTATGGTAAAATATTCACAGCATTAAATTAAATCTCCTATTAGGGTAGAAGAAAAAATAATCAGTATGCACCCAGCATTTGGTGCGGATTCTGCAGATAGAGTGTTCAGTGTGGCGATGATGGATTTATACAGGAAAAACTGTAGGGGTGTTGGTGAACAAATGCATTATTTTTATACAGCCGCTGAAAAAGTTTCATATATTAGCAAGGAATTGGAAATGTATGACATGGTCAGGAGTTCCACTGGTAAAATTTTATTGGTTTTATTTGCAGACTTGAATAATTTCAGATAAACGAAGTAGAGACCGTATCTTCCGCGGATTCGCATCCCTCGCCTCTGCCTCACGCAAGGAAGGTGATCTCGAACTCAAATTAAATTTTTCAACAACCTTAATAAAGCCATTTCTGAGTCTGTTAATTAACAAGACCTTACATCACTTAAAATAATCTAAATCTACCAAAAGCCAGAACCGAACAATGATTTCATTTAGATTTCCAGTGGAAATATGTACTATCGCTACTAAATTTCATTCGATCTCTTGTTTTGGGGGTTCGAATTAAAATTAATTTGGACTTGCATTTTGTTTTAGGTGACGCCAGTAACGCGAGTATCGGCAGCGGAGAGGGCACAGGCGAGGAGGATGACGATACGAACGGCAAGAAAAATCAAAAAAAGAGAGGCATATTTCCCAAGGTGGCTACAAATATTCTAAGGGCGTGGTTGTTTCAACACCTAACGGTAAGGAATCGGTCCAAGATTTATTCATACTTCTTTAAAAATTAATTTCAATATTTTGCGGATGCTTATAGACGTTTTTATTTCATTTGGATTTCAAAAAATATTGGAAAAAGGTGTTTCAATTTTGAATTTCCCGTTTTGGTCGGATTGGGAACATTAATCAAACATATTAAAGCTACTTGGAATATATGTATAAAGAAAAGTTACGCCAATTTCTCTAAGCCTGTTTTTACTATCAGTTTCTATTCATTTATTGTCCTATAATAGGCGACTTTCACGTTTAATTAAAGGTTCGATTTTAAGTGATATGGCATCTTTTGATGACCAATAGCTTCGTGCCGAAAGTAGTTTGACCAAATTGGAGACTCGGAGTCGCGCAAAAACGACCCGTTCCTATAGAACGCTCACCTGTCAATTAGTCGTAAATGATGAAAAAAATATAATTATTGTCTAAAAGACTGCAATAATTCAATCCTAAATCTTTAGCGTCATTAATGGAGACAGCAGAACATTACATATTTTATGATAAAACATCTTAGCAAAGTATGTGGATTTTCCAACTAAGACTAAAATAAAATTATTACTATTGAACATTGTTATATTCTGTGAGTGGATAATAGGGCAATATATCCGGGAAAACGGCTCGTTTGAGGATTTAGCCTCTAGTTTCGAATGCAGGAAATTATGCTTCATATTCGCGACCCTCACGTAATACTAGATTATTAAGGTCCCCTTTGGGTCATTCCATCTCCGCTGGTGGTATTAAATGTTTCTGACACTTTATCTATTCGTTACATGCTTGCAAAAGTTACAATTGGCCATCCCGCATCTAATCCGTATTCAGTTCACCTTTTTGTGTTTGTCCATCCGGGGCAGTAGGAATAGCCGGCTTGATATAAGGCGGTCGAACCCGTTCCCAGAGGAGATTCCTCCAAGAATGATCCAAGTGCGGCTCGTCCACCTGTCAAGGAGAATTAAAGGATGGCGGCGTGCAACGGAAAGTGCAGTTTCCCGAACTGTAGATAACGTTAAATCGCCAATCCTTTGGGACCAACTCTTGACCACGGTGTTCAATATTTGATGTTTGCCACTTTGAATTCGAGTCGTGGCTAAAAACCAGCCTCCCGGTCAACTACTCGACGACGCATGAATATTTGAACGATGCATTCGAGCAAGGGTGGTATCACTACTCTGATCCCGGCTTACTTCCACGACTCATTAAATTCTGCGTGCTAATCCTGATACCGAATATTGCGAGGGATGCGGGACCCCCTCAACGCTAATATCCGATCAGGTTTAAGCAGTTTGATGAAACTTTCAGATGCCAGTAAAATACTCGCGTCATTAGACATAGGATTCCATTAGTCCTAGGTCAACTATTAGTCGCTACCTTCATATCTTCTTTACTTTATTATCTAAGTGCAATGGGCTACTTGCATGCATCGGCGTTATTTTGCATTTGTGCTTATTTCAGTACGTCCTAACTTACGTAATCTTTCGCTAAATCCCAAAGATATCTTTCAACTTCATTATTCTACATACAGAGTGATACAGAAGGATAGGCAAACTGATGAGCCACCAGTTTAGCAACTGGTCGGTGTGTCACATTTTCATACATCTTCTTCAATTCATCATCTTCAAACATGTTCTACATATATCTTCGTCACCATTAGCAATTTGGGAGGGCTCGTTTTCGCCAGGGTTTCAAATCTGAAAATATAATTTGAGCTGTTTTCCTAAGAAATAAGCAAACAATTGAAAAACTTTTTAAAATTGGGATCGGATGAAACGAGAAACATTAGAAAAAAGTTGTGTCTCATAGACAAAGTCTGAACTTATGTAAGTTTCAATCACAAGGAATTTAGACAAGACACAAGACCTCGATAAGCAATGTAAACGGTTCTGGGCAAAGAAAATGTCCTTAATTGATAATGGTATGTTTTTGTTGCTGAAATTAAACCTTTTATAACATATAGCGATCAATGAATTATAAAGTTTCCGTGCAATGTTATAATCTCACTGTTTTTGCGCTTCGCATTTAAAGTATGAGCAGGTTGCCAGTGATGATTGTTGTCAGCATTTTTGCAGAAAATTATACACTTTGAGGCTGAAAGTTTGGTCGTAGTCTCTGCCCACTTATGTTTCTTCTGTTTCTTTTCCTTCTCCATTCTTAAGAATTATTTTCCATTTTTCCACCGATTTGGATGAAAAGGGCATCAACATTCACTATTTTTGTTTCAACTATTCATACATTGGGTCGAAAACGAAAACCTCTTTTGCCTGTTATAGTGATAAAGATACTTCTAATTAAATGTGCGTCATACGTTCGTAAGTTATGAATGATTTATTTGGGGCTTGGACTTAGAAAGTTGATTGTTTTAATTATCAAATATTTGATTTGAGATTTGTTTCGCTGATGCGTGTGCGACTCTCTTGTGCCTAAATTCATATCTATATGAAATACTATACAGGGTGTCGAACCACGAACCGCCGCGATCGATATCTGGCAAACTGTAAGTAGGAGAAATTTGAAAATTGGACAGTCTACAGAAGTCATTGGGGGCAAGCAGTCTAAAATATTTTAAAGATGGCGACACTTTCGGTTATACCGGAAGTAGGTAGCAACTTGCTTATTTTAAATGGCACACAGTATTTTATTACATTTTTGAATTATACTCAAAATTCTAAATGTATTTTATGTATGACATCCTATACCTAAGTCTAACCGTTTCTGATATATTTGAAATTTCATGTAAAAAATGACAGTTACAGCCACTCGAATAATTATTCATTTTTCTTATAAGGCAATATGGGCTACTTAATTTGAGTCGCATTCCTTGTTGAAAATAACTTACTTTAATGGAATTTCGACAAAAATTTTGATAACTATTAATGCAAAGTGTTAAAAAAATAGTTTGAAAATGACGTTGAGAAAACTGCCAAAAATCATTATTTTCAAATGAAAACACCCATTTTACATTTACAGTTTGCCAGATATCGATCGTGGCGGTTCCCGGTGGGACACCCTGTATGTGAAGAAATTTGGAAATCGCAAATAAACTAAAACTTTGGTTTCTTTCAAAAAATATTATTAATATGGGCTAATATTTTTTAATATTTGTTCTCTAATCTATTCAAATCGCAACTTTAAATGTGAAGCATCTATAAAGTCTTCCTTGCCTGGGGAGAATCTAAATATTTTCCTTGATAGAAGAGCAGATTTCATGGTATGTTCTTTATTACAAACATGTTTTTCCTGAGAAATGGATATTATTTTGAACTCAAAACACTCAAATTGTACCGACTTTGAGATTTGTGAGGTCAGTTGGAAAATTATATTTGAGAAGATTGGATCGTTCTCAACTAACGAATTTATTAATGCATCATATGACTTTTTAAATGTACCTCTAAGTTGCACCTGTTAGCTTTTTTAATTTTTTCATTAGGCAGCAATTATTTGCGTAAGTTTAATGATAAAAGCTTTATTTGCCTACGCAATCTAATGCATGCGTGTGAAGTATTTGCGTTGCTAAATTCTTAGTTTTTGACAAATTTTTCCTTTTTTTCTGTATTTCCCAAATCTCAAAGACAATACGTCCAGAGGATTTAACCAACTGCGACTCCCTCTGTGTTATACACAAAGACTTGATCTTAAAATGCACCATTTTATACCAATTCACAATGTGCCTTATTCCTGAAATAAAGCGACAAAGCCTTCCACTTATTACTACAACTCAAATTCCCGATGTTCCACGGCCATCCGGGCTCAAGTTCTTATTTGGAGCTAAAACTGTTATAGCCGGATATGTATAACTATAGGGGTGCTGTCAATGTTCTCTATATTCTCCCAAATAGCTGAAAAAAGTTCGCTTTCCGGTTACAAGGCTTCATTTCCGGCCCGACTGCATCGCAGGCTATATTTTTCGACAGAGTTATCCGATTTTATCCGCGGATAGGTTCGATAGCGACATGTGTCTTACTTGGAAACCCAAGCAATTTTCGAGGAAATTTTCATTAAGATTTCCGTAAAAGACGAAATACGTAGGAAATATAATTATAATTGTTGTTTATGTTATGCGGGAAGTTAAGCAATTTCAAGCAAGAACTTTGAATTGTTTCCAAAATAACTTTCGTTGTGCAAGAGACATCGTCAAACGTGTTGCTTGAAAATAGACCCAAACTATAAATTTTGCTTTTTAAGTAAACTCTTACCGTTAATTACGGCAGTTTCTTCAAAGTAAGAAATTTTTGAAATACCAAACTACAGTTTTGCGATTTATAATGCATTGATTTGTGAAGGTTTCTTACAAATTTTATCTGGGTGACATACTGGGTGTATGTCGAAAACTCTTGGGCTCCGGATATGCTTATGAAGTAAAAATTGTAAATTTTTATACCCTATGCCTCTCGTAAAAATTAGTGGATATATTTGTGAAAGTATGGGAGATATTCATGAATTCGCAATTAAACGGCATCCGTGTATTTAACAAAAGATTGAGTATTTTGATCGTTAACATATAAAATTTTAATTAAAATTATTCTGCACAAAATAAAATGAGATATTAAAGCGTATTTGTATTTTCAATACTAGCGAATAAGTTACAATCTACGTATTTACAATTACATAACTGTTAATCGGATCATCTAAGTGAACATAGAAAGGGCAAAAATGCTCTAATTAATTCACATTGCACAATACTATTTCCACTCAGGTAGTTTTGCGTATTCCTTTTGACAACAATCGTAAATCGCCATCGATCATTAGCGTTACGTGACTCGTGATTTACATTACATTTTAAATCAACGACGTCGAGGTCATGGAATTCTATCGCTATACTTGCTAGATTTTTCAAACAGTGCAATCAATCTTATCTATATTTTTAACAATCTATACTTTTGAGCATGTACTGTGTAAAACGCAATACTAGAACTTCTTCACCAAAAATCAAAAACTGCGTCCGTTTAGTCCTGTACAGAATTATTGGTCGCTGGCTTATTTTTACACAATGTGGTCTTTAAAATTAAAGAAGCCATCATTTGGCATCCAGAAAACTCGTACTTAATCAGAGAAAGATGTTTTCAGCCTGATATTTCAGTAAATATTTCGTGTCATATATTATCGTTTCATTCGGTCAAAAGTACTTACAATTTTTGGAAATAGGTTTTCCACACTTGATAGATAAGGTTTCACTCAAACCCAAAACATTTGCTCGAACTTTTCTGAAATTTTTCACGCAGTTGGCTCTGGATCTCAGTCTCTGAGGTTGGTAAATTTATATTACATTTACAGTTTGGTTGATTGATTGATTCACTGAATCGGTAACACTTGGAAAACGGGAGAATCGAGCAGAATAATCAGTCCGCAAACGAGTTAATCGAAATACCGACATAAAATTGCATTAAAAAGTTCTGTTTGAAGAACAACCAAACAGCATAGCATCATGTGAACATTGGGCGTTTTCGCGGTTATAAGTGAGACCAAATCAGGACCAATAATACATTACATTAATTGCATGCCACTAGCAAATACGTAAATGACCACTGCATGTTACACCATAACTTTTATTTAAAATTTATTGACAGTATTAAGAAAATTTGTATTTTAATATATTCAGGAAAATATCTCTTCTGCTACAACATTAGCATATGGTAATATTTAACATGTAATAATACATTGTTATTTAAATTGAGATGCTCATTCTTGGTTCAAGAATGTGTACAACTTATGCATAATCTCTTTTAATCTTATTATCGCTATTACGAATGTTCAATAGCTCGAAGATGGATGAGGTTTTTATTCAGAAAACGTTCATAATGCCATCACAATATTCATGAATTTATTTATGTTAATCGAGTCGTGAAGAATAAGCTTCATATTAGTAAAACTATTAATTAATTTCGTTCCACGTGATCTTCACCTTGTCTCACTTCGCATAACGAATGCTAAGATATGGAATTCTTCAGAAATGAGTCTAGAAATATAGGATTTTGCATTGCTGCTCATGTAGAGAGTAAAAATATGTCAAGTAGAGCTTTCGGGTTGAATTTATGGGCACTCGGCAATCAAATATTTTTCCCCGATCAGGATTGAAGCTGTAAATCGCTGCATGTGATATGTGAACCCCCGGGGTGCATTGAAATCAGCCGTCTTAGGTGCTCGCGGAAACTCCCTCTTCAATTTTCTACCCGTTTCACATTTTAGATGTAGATACGCAAATAATAGCATGAAGGTGGTGTGTGTGGCGAACAGAGGCCGTTTTGGATTCCCAACATAATCGTAAAAATCACTATGCATTGCTATCCTGAAAAAGGGAACCGGGGGATCTTAGGCAGACATGGGCGGCCCGATGGAGGCCACATAAGGGTTATGCTGCCCCTGAGAGACACTGAAGATGGGGTTATCGGTCTCGATGGGGCTCTTGCGAGGTGTGACGGGGAATGAATGGATCGGGCGCGCTGTTTTTCACGGAATTACTACCGCAGATACCGGTCGGCAGCTAATGGCACTGCACTCTCACTCCCTTGAGGGGTCACTTTTACTCCACTTTGACTTGTTTCTCTTTGTCGACCCTCTAATTGTTTGATTTACCCTTTATTGCACTTCAATTTCACCTTAAACGGTTTACTAGCTTTCCTTCAGCAACACGATCTGATCAGCAGCAATGTGTTGTCAATTAAGTTTCAGCGCAATTTGAATGGAATCTCTAACACAAACAAATTGGTTATTTCCAGAAACATGCATATATTTCATTTAGGCGTTGCGGAATTCGTTTGGGTTGCTTCACGTTTCATCATTGTTTGAGCAAATAAATAGATTCTTCTGGGAAGTAGCAGCTGGATGCGTTTTTGAGAGAGTAGAATAGCTTAACATTAAACGTTATGCAAAGCTTTCAGTTTGACTCAACTTTGATGATATATTTGCTGTTCCGAACCAGGTGGAAGAGTGTGGTGTTATGTCCAGAAAAAATTGCATTAGTCGTTATTTTAATAGCACYTAACTTTTCTCGACAATACCAACCTGACAAGAAGACTCAAGAGGGTAAAGCCTTTTGAGCTATGTGAGTGACTACGTCAGTGCAGAAGCAGAACATTGTGCGATTTTCTGCTACACGGTAATTAGTGTAGCTATGTCACTAGACCACCAGACTCTAAGGTACACTAGTGAGTAGGACCTTAGTTTGAAATTGTATCCATAGTTAAGTTAGGTTAGAACTGAATTACTCATTGATCAACTTTGATCAGATCGTAATGATAAAAAAATACCTTTGAAGTGTGCATGCTTGAAAAAAGTGTCTCAATGTTGTTGAATCAACTAAGCGAGTGGTGAAGACCTATTTTCGCGCGTATATTTTGAATATATTTTTCTGCAACTGTGGATGGTTATTACCTCTCATGTATTCTGATTGTTGTCTTTCTTCTTCTGTTTGAGTCGGACAGTTTTCAGAAATCTGCATTCGCATGATATTTTACACAAAAGTTTTTTTTGGGTTGGTTTTTGGTACACTTGTGGGACTCTCAAGAAGAACCAACGATGATGGATGGCTGCTAGACAAAGAGCCATAYACTTTCTGTAATATTGTACCCAACGGTATTCATTTTTGGTTTAAGTTCTTSGAACGTTGGCTTTTGTGTCAGGAATGTTCACTAGTGAGAGTAAATTTTTCTACATTGTCTAGCGTTAATTGGCAAAGCTGCTCTCTTCTGCAGGCTCCAAAATTTTCAATTATGTTTGTTACTTTTCTCATAAAACGCAGGCGATTTAGTTCCTTAGGTATTTTTCTTTAGTTTTTAGGCTGTTAACCATTCCATTCTCATTTTTAAAAGGCAATTAGTTAAAAGAATTGGTAATGGCTATTAATATGTGACTTTGTCTTTATTATGAAGTAATCACCCAAGTAACAAAATATTAACCTACTCCAAAACTCCTAACACAAGAACAAACAATTTTTGCTTTAATAAGAATTTTTCAAAAGCCATAACAACCTTAATAAAAGTGTTTTAACAGTTGTAATTAAATTGTGAAGGAGTTGTACAACTGTTTATAATATAAACCTTACAAAAGTTTAAAAAAATATATATTATAAAATTTTCTTTACGTAATAGTATATCACGAAAGTTATGCTACTGTTTTCTAGCGTTGGTGTGCGCTTATTTATAAAATCGTTTTAGAGTTTTGTTTAATGAGCAAAAATACTTCTATTATTTAAAAACGTTTTATAGAATAAAATGCGTTAAAATGGCACATTTGTTTTGAGATTCATTATTCCGAGCTGACAGTAAATAGAGGAAAATRTTTTTCTGCGAGAAAAATTAAAAAAATAGTTATTTCGAAAGAAGTCTGAAAAAAGTACCAGGCGATTTTGTCTGTACGAAGCTGTGAGGAGCCTAATAAGACAGCCGGAAAGTGCGTAAATATTTTCAATGAGATTCAAGAATATGAACAAGACAATAATAGTGAAAATGCTCTAAACTAGAATAATTTGAAAATATTATTGATAAATGTAATCGCAGAAATACCGATAACAAAAAAACTCATAAAMAAMTCATTAAAAATMAAATTACTGCATTGTGCGTTATTCCAAAAGTGCTTCCTAAGGATTCCAGAACACTTTTAAAGATCATCAAAGTTTCGAATTCGATTATCAACTTAAAAGTGGTCAGTACTATCGTTTTTTTAAATTCTAGCCAATTTTATTTAACAACTTYGGAATTGCCGAAATTAAGCCACTTGTTACAGGCAATTATTGTGCTAATGGAATTATTGTGCTTGGAAATTTGGTAAACGAAAGAAAGCGAATACTGAAGGCTTTCTTAGGTCAAAACAACGTACCAGATTGTTCTCCGTGTTATGGAGTAATGGTTAGCTCTTTCCTTCCTTTTGCTAGGGATTCGGTTAGTTTAAACAGTTTTATTATGATTAAACGAAATTAAAGATGAAACAGTAGCATACAGCCAAGCTACAAATTTTACTTCGCTTCTTGGGCAGACCAAAGAAACGAAGATTTTCAGACCTGCAAACAACTTAAAAAAAATAGGCACCAGCAATATATTGTCTTTATATGTTTATTATGATGTACGGTACGCGCTTTTAAAACTGTTTTTAAGGCACTCATGCAAATTTGCAAGCGGGCCTTAAAATTGCTCTATTAACACTGATATAAATAACTATAGAATCGTTTTTATTCCGGTATTCAACGTGTTACTAAATTTCGGGTGTCCTACACGATTTGATCTTTTTCTTTAGTCCCTTATTTGTTTTGCACTGAGCTGTTTTGGCTCTTTGATCACTTTTTATCATTTTGGCTCTATCTTCACTAATAGGAGAACTTCTAATTGCTAATATCTAATAATTAAATTTCGTTGTTATTCAGTGTTTCCTTGTCAGCATTAAAAACAACGGAAATCTTCTAAAATAGTTAAATAAAGTAAAACTAAACTGGAAAAGTTCAACCGCAAACTAATGCAATCTTTGTTTGTTTCAGCATCCTTATCCTTCGGAGGACCAGAAAAAGCAACTAGCTCAGGATACGGGGCTTACGATACTACAAGTTAATAATTGGTAAGTGATTAGATTTGATTTGATTATTTATATGCGGACATAATAGTAAAAGTGCATGGATCCAGATGGGAGGGATTTAGCGATTAACCAGGCGCATTGAGCCATTCGCGGCTGATCCCATTTCCAAATGTGTGAAACATAAAAACCGGCAGCTTCGAACCGAAAACAGTGACGTAGAAAGAATTGTTACCGGAATAGGAATGGATTGATTAATCGCAGTAATTACCGATCAGCTTTCCGCGCTAATTAGATTTCGTCCCCCGGCAACGCTCCAAATGAGATTACGCCTGGAAATGGCGCTCGCCACATCAACCGTTGTGCCGAGCGCACGCGTTAATTGTCATCGATTTTTATAATGCCATTATGTCCGTACACAATTTATCACGTTAGCTTGTTTTTCGACATTGTTCAAATAGCCCAATTTTTGCAGCAGCCACATTACCAAATCCAACACCTCCACACTTGCTCGGTTATTCAATAAAATACTTACCAGTTTAATCACCTTCTACTTCTTCTGTGTACCATTTTGCTCCAAATCTAAATTCGTACATGACGAGAACCAACAGCGCATTAAAAGTACCAAAAAAAATACTCTAAAGTGTCCCTGGCTTTATTTGAAGTAATTTTTTGGCAATATGATGCTTTTGGCCCTCGGATATGTTATCGTTCGAAATATTTACATAAAAGAGCTATTAAATAAATAGTCGCGGTATGATCGGGTGTTGAGGACAATGTTCAAAAGATATCCGTATCCGAAAGTACTGGGGACCTCAGAAAAATGTATTGCTCGGACCAACCGGTGCTTATCGAAGAGTATAGTGGTAACTAAGTGAACACTAAGAGGCCAGCGCATTGTTTCATAAAGAATTTGGATTTCGACGGTAAATTCTAAACGAATTAGCTTTATCTCTAAATAATTGCATGTACGGAAAGAGGCAGGAGACAGATCAGGCGCATCTTTCTTTCACATCCACAATAACAAAGACATTTTCCTTTCTTTACCGGATATTGAGGAATTAATAAAATATAAATTCGAAATAGGGAATTAACATTTCTATATTGTAGCAATGAATCTTTAGCTTGGGTTTTACTGATCTCGATCTGAGCCTAAGCTAGGGCTGATCTGAACTGACCGACGATCTGGCGATGTTCAACTCAAACGCCCCAATTGAATCTGCGGGATTTCAGCTCAACTTGAACTTAAGTTCAGGTTCAGGCTGAGCTCAATTGAACCCATGCGTAATCTTCCGTTGTACAACCTGGCTTTACACGAAAAACAAATAGTTTTAATTGTGCTGAAATTGATTATTAGTCATTCTCACCAAAAGCAATGCCGCCGTTAAATTTCATGAAGAATGTGCGCAAATATCCATATTTCAACTGGAAAATGCTAATAAATTAATATTAAATAGCAATTTAAATTCGATACTAAATTTCTGTTACGATCTTACATTTTTAAGGTCTTCTAAATAAGAACAAAGCATTGTTTGTACGTATTTTTAAAGTGTTTAAATGAACCGCAACTACTCGTTGAAAAACAAATGACGTTTTCAAGCGCTTTGAACTTTACAAAATATTTACAAGTTGAGCAAAAAATATGTGAACTACAACTTTTCTTATTTATTCCCAATAAAACGATATTTACAACAGTCGACAGCATAGCCTGAACGTAATTGCGTTGTTTAAAGCAAACAGGATTAAGGTTGGGAGTTGTTGAAAATTCGAGGTAAAATATTTAATGTGCATACATAATTTTCAGGTCTGGTCTGGCTAAGCAGATCAATTCAACCGGGTTTAATGCATTGTTATCTATGTATTTGCTAGCGTAACTATTTGTATGGGAGGTTCATCTATTTTTAAACCATCCCCAATTTCCCGTTTCGTTTCCTGAATAATTAAACCAGTATTCTGCCTAGGGTTTAAAAATTTAACTTGTATGGGCGGAACAATTACATATTCAACTATAGCGCCAAAACCAGCATTCAGTAAATTTAACTCTTCTCGAACGTCCGCAATTAGCCCAAACGCAAAATAAACAAAATTCCTCCGGCCGTTTAAAGAATGTTCTAACGTCTGTTTAACACTGTCTTAAACACTTATCAATCATTGTCTTGCCGTATAACAAAATTAATTTATCTCAGCCACAGCTACGGTTTGCATTAGCCGTGATTATAATATCAACTGCGATTGCATAAAACGAATGGATGGATTAACTCTCCTTGGAAGATCATTAGCATAGTTGCAAAAAGCAACCTGCACCATGTCTATCGGCTTGTTTATTTTCAATCGAGTTTTTTCCAATTAAAAGAAATGCTTTCAAACACGACTTTTAATTTAGCATAAACCATTAGGACGCCTATTCTGTTTTATGCCAAAATGAGCTTGAGCACACGTCAGTGGATCAAAATAACAAGTCGTAGCTTAGTTGGGTGCGTCTTTTCGCAAATATTTGGTCAATAATTCAGGTATTATTATTTTCATGTTGGGTAAGGCCTGTCCCAAGCTTTTTGGCAGTGACGCAATAATTGTCGTTCTTTTTGTATTCCGTCGTTACTTCTTCACGGAGCGAGAAGGAAATTTGATGTTAATAGCGTATGTCTTTCATCAAATGGTTACGAGTGCGGAAGAATGTAAAAATTTGACCTCTTGGCGAATATCGGCAGTTTCTGCAAGTTTTTCCAAGTTATCGTTTCAATTTAACGATACATTTTTTATTTCTGTGTTATCGGGTACCGAACATGGCTAGACAATATTGCGAGGGCGAACAACGGTTCACACAGCTTAGGTTTCCACCACCATCGCTTCTATATTCTGCTTGCTTCTATTTTCTTCATTATTTGACTGCAGGTTTACCACCACAAAAGTAACACATTTTAACGTTCACAGTTAACTCGAAGCTCTGTATAATTGAGGCGAATTGATAGGTAAACTGAAAAAATGATTTATTTTCTCGAATTAATTGTTTACATTCTGCAGTTTTCACTCACTTTTCGTAAAAAGTTAATTGGGTTTTCACAGAGAAGAATAAAATTGTTTCACTTACATCAAGCAATACTAATGCGAATGTTTAATTTATCAACAATGAAAAAATAATAGTCAATGGAAAAAGAATAGTTTTTAACTTGGTTAAAACCGTGTTTTATAATAATTATGTCATCAAAAATTGGAGTTTTTAAATCGTTGATAAGACAAGCTTAAGCTTGCAACCACGCAATATGAAATAATATCATATCAAGGAAACATTCTTATTAGATAAATAAATGCTGATGCGTACATTAACCGACAACGACATGTTCAGGCAACGATAATGCCGTTCGACATTTTGCTATATATGACTGTGATCATATGCTTTTTCGTGTCTGTGCCTGTCCGTTACGCGTACTATTATCTAGCAAATAAGAAAACTGAAACTTCGACATTCTAAAATATTGGTAAATTTTTCTTTCGTCGTCTCCCCATTCTTTATATTATTAGAAAAAATATTTTTGGGTCTTCTGACGCTATTCTCGTGCATTTTGTGTCTTTTTGGGCGTCTGCGTGAGCGACCGGCGCTAAACCGCCTTACGTACATTCGGGAGCCGTTCCTCTATCAAAGAGGTGCTAAATTTGAATATTTCAAACTGAATCTAACAATATAAAGTATGGTATTCTCCTTCAGTTGTACGTTTTTGCAACATTTTTTTCACCCATACTGCTTTCTGTTTCTTCTTGGTGGCTTCGTTATCTTCATCAAGTAATTTAGCCAGTATAGTCATATCTTTCTTTGTCAAATTTCTAAATCTCTACCAGTCCCGCGACAGTATCCAAGATATTTATATTTATAATTTTAATAAGGATCATGATTACATTATATCATTCTGATTTGGAGATTAGGAGAACCTTTTGCCAATGCCAACTTTTTCCAAAATGTATTATTTTCTGACGAGTCAACTTTCACTCAGAATGGTAGCCCAAACCGTCATAATCTTCACCATTACGCAACCGAAAAGCCAAAATTAGTGACTAAATATTTGGGGTGGTATTATGGGGGACTTTATAGTTGGGCCACAGCATTTGCTTAAAAATAACGGTTAATTTAATTATTTACATTTAATAATACATTTATAATATTAAGTTTTTTATTTAATTCATTTTTTGATGGTCGACATGTGCCCAGTTCACTTGATTGTTGAAACGGTAGGTTTTGAGGTTAACACACCTCAAGTAGCTTTAACATTTGGCGGTAAATCGAAAGATTAAAAAAAAAATTGGGGATCTATTTGAAGTAACCAAGTTATTGAGATTAACAAACATGCAATTTTGGATGCTCATTGGGCGGTTTATTGGAAACTTTTCGTAAATTAACAGATGTCAGTACGTAGCTTGTTTAGTCCTCTTGGAACAAAGGGCGATTTCAAAATTCGTGGCGATTAAGGTACAGGCCAATTTCTATTCAAAATAAAAAAAAACTGTAAATTTTTCAGGTAAAACGTTTGAAATTAACTTACATTCAAATTTGACGATAAATCCGAAAAGCGCAAAAACAGGGGGAGGGTTCTATTTACAAAAAACCATAGTTGGTAACCACCACACGTTTATGACGCACCCCGTATATTGAAAAGTAACTTTAAAGTGTGCACCTTTTAAACGTCAAAAACTTTCGTAGAAAGTATATATTTACTGACATTATTTTATATTCATATTTACTGACATATCACACTTTGACGCATTAATGAGCAACCCTGTATATACCGACATGATAAAGAATCTTGATTTATACTTTTCCATGGCAATACTTTGATGAAATCGATCTCCAAGAAGAGATCTAAACTCAAGTTAATTATTTGTTCTATTCTATAAACGTAAAGTATGTGGGTCCCATAAACTATGCAGAGCTGGTTAGAGATGCAGCTCCACCTGGCCCATTGAAATTAACGAAAAATAAAGCATGGCATATTCGAAAGATAGGAATGTTCCCACAGAATCGCGTTTGTTAGCGAAGGTGCCATTAATTACGTGGC